CTGCTGCTTTTGGACAGCATGTTAAGGAGAGATGTACCTACCTTTCCTTCTGTTTCTTTAACTGTTAAGGTGTGAAACAAATCTTTGTTGTAAAACAATAGGTTGAGACAATTGGGGATGCGTATATGGTGGTATCAGGTTTGCCGGTCAGAAACGACAACAAACATGCCGGTGAGATCGCCACGATGGCGCTAAACCTGCTCAGCTCAACCAGAGACTTTACCATACAACACATGCCAAATAAAAGGCTTCAGTTACGAATTGGGATTCATACAGGTCAGTATCTACTTAGAATATGAGGCTGAGATATTCGTTAAAATGCTAGAGAAAGCTTAGAGCTCGGCTCGGAAAACACAGCGTACAGTAAGCTTCAAAAGGGCGGGATCTTTATTTTATACCTTAACCGTAAGCGAATGAAGCATGGGGTTATTATGGAATCTCGCCAAAGTTAAGAGTGTATGTATAAGGAGATGATAAAGTTCGTGTGATCTGCACTTGTTCTGGAATTTTGCTGAGAAAACAGCGTCACCCTGCGAGTGTGGTTATGAACTGCCGGTCTCTATCAGCTTAGCTTTCTGGTGGCGCGTCGGTTGTGCGTGTATCAGCCAAAAGAGTCTCTAGATCTGAGGTTCGTTAATTAATAGGATTAAATTCGTTTACTTTTTTTTTACTATGCTTGTTTTGCCGAATAATGTTCTTATAGCCTGTATTGTAAAATGCTAATTTCTTCAGAAGTTGTGGTTCAAAAAAGTGTATTCCACAGAATGAAAAAGTACGTACAAGTAGAAAACTCGAAGATTGAAGCCTCTTTACTGTTCACAATTACAATTTATGTACCAAGCAACGCCAAAGGGAAAGAGGATACAGATGTAACAAAAAAAATGTATCACAATATATTTTCTGTCTGCTTAAAGGTCCGTGTGTAGCAGGAGTCGTAGGGCTCAAAATGCCTCGCTACTGTTTGTTTGGAGACACTGTGAACTACGCGTCAAGAATGGAGTCTAGTGGACTTGGTGGGTTGTTTTTTTTGTTGATCATGATGCTATGGTTCGGATTTTTTAAAATTTTCTTTCTACAATATATCTTTTCTTAAATAGATAGGAATTGATCGATTGTAAGGATAATATTATTTCTATAATCGCAACTATCAAAATTCTGATTACAATAACTGTATGTATAAAAACTTATCTATAGCAGTATTAAAATATGTTCATTACCCATATTGTCCAAACGTCTTTTGTCTACGGAACGTACTGTATGCTTTAATGGAATAACAGCGAATGACAGCTGGAATGATAACAAAGATGATAATAATAATAATAATCATAACAATAGTAGTTGTAATAATGACGATAAAAAATAATATCAACAATGATAATGATGATGATAATAGGGGTGATAAAGATGATAAAACCAATAATAACTAGCTTAAAAAAATGTCATCAAAAAAGAACTTCTTAGTCAGCTTCAACTAGTACAGACGGGCTATTTGAACTCAAAAACAAAACGATCTTGAGCAAATCAGTTCGCCAAAGGCCAGCGACGAAAAAAAATAAAATCTGGCGGAAAAAATCCTGATATAGTTCAAACATAATTGACACTTCAGCCTTAAGAATCCACTTGAGCCCAGAATGTAAAGTAGCCTTAGATCAACTTGGAGGCTTTCACCTTGAAGAAAGAGGACCTGTCTCCATTAAGGTAAGTAACCGAGTCAAACGTAAGTGACTTGATTTATAAGCGGCCATGTCATGAAGCTAAGCAATAACTTGTCGTTCTCGAACTAGTCATGCCAAAATAGTATTAAAAATGACAACAAACATAATGATGTGTAAAATTTTAAAAAAAGTTAGACTGAAGAGCAAAATCTAAATTGTATAAAATAATATGTTCTTTTAGGTATGAGATTACAAAAATAATTGACTAAATCAAAAGAATAGGAAATTTTGATAAAAGTCAGTTAACTTTCCAAAGGAGAACATCAAACTGATTTTGCCGTAGGCGCGTATAACGCGTTGGAAAATTTTGTGGAATGAAAGACTAGAAAACATACAAAACCAATGTAAATGGAAAATATATATTTCCGTGTTAGCACATCTAGGCTTACACACTACATGTCCCCTTACAATACAGCCACGACCTTTGATTTGTTGTTCATGTTGCCGATATGAGTTTTGTCATGGTAGAAAATCACGTTTCTTCAAAACTTTCTTCCTTACAGGGCAAGGGAACGATAACAACCCATTTTCTGAATGGAAAGGATGGTTTTACGAAACCTCTCCCCGATCTTTGTGAAGCAGCCCCGTTGACCGAACACGAATTTAAATAGCCTTTGCGACGTGTGCCGCATCCTTACGAAGCTACGCTGCGCCCACAAGCTTCGTGTACTCAGTTACAACAGCTAAGAGCATAATGCCTTCTGTTAAAGAAAAAAAGAGAAAGAAAGAAAAGGTCCTCGAATTCATTTTAACCATTAGGTAAAATATTAAACCACGACATATTTAATCGGGTGGGTGATAGCAAGAGGCTGATTACCCCAGTATTCTATGACACGTACAATAACCGTTACAATTTCCTCAACTGTGATTGGTGCATTGGCTGCTTTATCCTCAACTAATCATTCTGCACAGTTGTAATCAGACTGTGTAATTGGACGGTTGCTTGTGATCGGACGCCTACAATCAGACTGCTGAAGCAGCCAATTTTACTTAGTCCACTCAGCTAAATCCACCAATCACAGTATTGATCACAATAACCATAGTGATAACTACTTATCCTGCAAAAAAAAAAAAAAAAGAAAGAACTGGGGAATTTCCAAAATGAAGAAATCTTTTATTTGACACAATGTCTCTACCGCATATGTTTGTTCTAAATGTATTTGTTTTTTTCGGAAATTGTAACGGTTATGATTAATTGGTAACAGGACTTCGTGTCGTCTAATTCCGTCTGTAATCATACTCGTGACTGACAACTCGCACTCCGATTTTGTTAATCACCCCTTTGATTACAGACCGAATTGGACTCCACTTGGTCCTATTAGCATTATTGATTGTGTAAACACAAAACTTATTCGAGATACTAAGCACTGAAAATTTTAATGTCAGAGTACAAATACCGCTTACAGAAATACTAATTAGCTAAAGTTCAACTTTCTAAAGTCTAAATACTGTTAAAACAAATTCAGTGGCCCATAAGGAAGTTTTCTTTATTTTGATTGGCTAGCACTTGCTAGCTAGTTGAGTTTCATCGGCTGGTGGCTTTAAGTGCTTAAAATTAATTTGTTGCTTAGCCGTCTGATTTGGCTTGGCTGATTACAGGAGTTTGTACTAAAACAGGTGAAATCGGACAGTTTGGGCTTAAAACAGCTATTTCAGCCACGAATAAGGGTTTTTCATAACCACTGATATTCGAGCATTTTTTAGTTACACAATTTCTGGTTGTTAATTTAGCTCGCCGTCTAAACATTGAGCAGTACACCAGGAAGCCGTCGCTTTAAACATCTTCAACACTAAACCGCTGAAACACTAATCAAAAACTCTACGTTTTATGGTATATCTACTCTTAGAGAAAACGCGTTTTCCTTCACTCTTAATAACAAGCAATTAATCTTTGATATTATAGTGTTTTATGTATACATATATATTTTTAAGATAAAGTGACAAATAATTTATTTGTAAGTAAAATTAGTAATAAAAGTAAAGTAATTTTCATATACAATTGTAAAAAATAAAGCTGCAGTGAAACCAAACTTTATGAATGATTATGATACAATAACACCATCAAAAACATTAAGATCTAATTGTTCACTCTTAAAACTTTTTTGTTTTCTTTTGTTTTTGCAATCAATCTTTCCCCCTTCCGAGTATAAACCCCGATCGTTCAAAAACATTGAACATAGGTGGCAGTTCAGTACGTATTTTTTTGACCATAGCTGCGTTTGAAGGCGAATTCCTGGTCTTAAATCTAATTTTCGAAAAACACGTTTGCCTATACAGTTAAAAGCATGTTTATTGATTTAAAGGCGGACCGCATTGCCCCATCGAAATTTTCATTGTGAGCTATCTAGCCATCTAGCCCTCTAGCCATTGAAATCGTTATTATGCCAGACGATAAAGTATTAGCGCTTGTACTTTCGCTCTTTGCTTTTCTTTTAAAATTAAGCCACGATACTTAAAGATTGAGTTTCTAGCGTGTCCAAGCACAACCTGAGGATTGAACTAGTACCAAACGTTAGCCTCATGTTGCTCAACAAGGCCCCAACAAACAAAACCTTGACATTCAAGATAAATTACAGCTTCGTCTGACTGTTTTATCTTTGCATTGCAAATTGCTTGATGAAAACAAAATTGGGATTTAAAATGTGTTGTATTTTACTGCAAAACTTAATGAAAAGTCATTCTAAGTATTACAACCATTTTTTCTGAGAGAAAGACCGCGTGTAATTCTGATTGAACATTTCCACCAACTTCCTGATCTGAGATCAAATCCTAACAGTCATTAACGCCAGTTCGTGTGAAGGTGCACGCTGCCGTGAGAAGTGTCCTTGATATCGCACTTGTACAGAATTTTCTGGGTTTTTTTTATACACTGTATCAGTTAGAGGACCGATTTTTTTCCTCCAATCAGAAAACTACTGATCGAAAGGGAATACTTACGCTTCTTGACATGTTCGTTAAAACAGAATATGCAAATTATCAGGTAGTGTTAACTTGCACGCAATTGAAGTGTCAATAGAGGAGTTTCATGGTCATGTAGCACTTAAATATTGACGGAAACAGTCACGAATACGCGCTATTAAAACGTCTACTAAATTTTTTTTAAGGTTTCGAGCGCAATGAAACGTGACCAAAATAAAATATTGTTTGTAGTGGGCACCATATAGTGCTGTGTAAATATAAAGCTATAACACCTGCACACCGCCTAAAAATTTGCAATCTTATTTTAAAAGTGAAAAAGTTTCAATAATGAAAGCCTTCAACACCTCACATTCAATAAACATGGAATCCATCTCGGTTCCTACGAGCTTTTACAAACTGCGTTATGAGATAACGAGTTAAGGCGACTGATTACGAGTGGCATTTTAATTATAAATATTAAAACAAAAAATTACCATCTTGTGACAAGCAAAATAGTGAAACCGAGATGAACTAGAGTAGTTCTATAAGTGGATGGACATATTCATTATTATTACTACAAAAAGAAAAAAAAGTAATTCGCGAAAATCCATGCGATAAAAATTGCCCAGTTAATCTATAAAATTTCTTTGGATTTTGACAGCTTTGATGAATATTTATTGATTGGGCGATAACATTTAAAAACAGGATTCGATATCGTTAATTCATTCGTTGTCGAAAACTCAATGCTGCCTCGTGATCTTGTCGGCGGATTTTGCAGAACGGCCACGGTGAAAAAGGGAAGAGAAAAAAATGGACAACTCATGCAAAAGTGAGTTTAAAGAGCTGAACTTGGCAGCCAAGATAATTTTGTCATCATGGTATGGCCTTGCAGGTTTAGCGGCCATTATTGGTAACGCGATTGTGTTGTGGTTGGTCGCTCGAAACGAGTCTCTCAGAACAATTTCCAACTTGTTCCTCGCTTCTTTGGCAGCCGCAGACTTTGTAGTAGGACTTGTAATAGATCCAGTCTGGATTTTCACCAGATGTGTGGGATATGATGCAAATAGTCACGTGCAGACGTATGGTGAAGTTATCGATTATCTCTGGATCCACACAACAGTGGCCACCACGTTCAACTTATGCTGTGTTACTATGGACAGGTATCTGGCGATCCTCTATCCTCTCCGCTACCAAGATATTCTCACCAAAAGGAGATGTTACATACTCATTGTCACTATTTGGTTCATTTCTTTCATTCTCCCGTGCTCCAGGTTCTTTGTCAAGGATGGTTCAGTGTCACTGTGGTTATCATTTACAATTATCACAGTTCTAATTCCCATGATGATCATCATATTTTGTTCTGTCAGAATATTGAAAGCAGCCGCAGAACAGTCGAAAAAAATTAGAAATAACTACACAGTGCAGAGTCAAGAGGCTCTGAGAAGAGGAAGGAGAAACTCAAAGGCGGCTTTGACAATTGGCATTGTGGTGGGACTCTTTGTTGTCTGCTGGTTACCAAGTCTAATCACATCTTTGGTGAATTATTTTACCCCGCATCACTGTGGCCTGACCAGACAGTTGTTATACTACACAGTGTGGTTATCAGTGGAAGCTCTTGCTTTTACTTCGTCAGGAATTAACCCGTGGGTGTATTGTTTACGATATGACGAATTCTACAAAGCTCTTACTCGTACCTTTTCTTGCGTTAAAAGACGCAATTTAGAAGAAGCTCTTTCTCATCTGAGAGAGAGAAAGCAGAGCGACATGTAAGGGGCTTAGTCTCAGGTGACAGTTTATTGTATTAAATGCCTTTACCACTCAGGCTTGGACGGTTAAACAATTTAGATAAACCTTTTTAAGCGTCAATCTCGATTTGATAAAGAGATACGGTGTATCCAAAGCTTTCTCCTAAAGTATGTGTTTAGAAAATGAAGTCATGGCTTGTAAAGGTCATAATCAATTTATGTCCATTCCTATCCTCGTTTTTTTTCCTTCTTAATTTGAAAATATTAGATGTTTCATAATTTGTTATGCAGTTTACATTAATTGTGAATTATAGATGGTAATTACAATTGTTCGCAGCTGAATTTTTTTGAAGCTTTTGAGATAAAGAACTTTAATCCCAAGATGAATGAAGGCCTTCTGGCCACCAGGGGATTAGACTTACTCTTAAGAGAGGAAGTCAGCATCCATAGAACAAATTTGAAATATTGTGGCAAGTCGCCCAAAATTCGTGTTCTCTCCTACTTTCATATTTTGTAGCCCAATTTGTTCTAATAATTGTGGAGTAGTTTTTTTGTGAAGATATATTTTAGTTTTTATGCAAATTTTCACCGTGAATATTACCCGAGTTGTGTGACCTCATGTGACGAATGTACTAGACTTACGGTATTTCTGTGAACATAATCCTTTGTTTTATCATCTAAACTTAATCCCCTGTCGTTATTGAAGCTGGCAAAGAGATATTTATTTTTTGGTGAATATTTTTGTCCGACATACTTTTCCTATGTCGAAAAGTAGCATCAAAACAAAGACAGTTTTAACAATGACCGATATGACAGAATCTACTGAGCTTCAAGCTTTGATAAGACCAAAGGATGGTTATTAAGTTACTGTAAAAATTTCCTTGTGTATTTGTGTTGTTCTATCTTGAGACGAACTCAGAGTCCGGCAAAATTTACTTGATAGCGACTATGAGATATACATGGTACGCCTACTTGTCGCCACCGTTAATTGGCATAAATGACTAAAATTTGATTTTATTAGCCGTTTCGATTATTATATTATGCCTCGATATTACTTTTTGACAGGAGCCCAGGTTTTGCGTTATGTTTTCCCTTACCTCATTTATATCATAAGCTAGCACGCAATAATTGATACCGACACAAGTGAATATTTAGCATGTATAAAGATTTTTGTTTACGTTGAATTGAAAATATTAAAATCTGTGCTTTCTTCACTAATCGTTGTTTCAGCAGCAGTGAAGCAGTTAAAAGCGGGTTCTGAGAGAGTTTAGAGGGGTTTTCATTACAGATCGAAACACTCATTCTGGACGACCTTTTCTACCTGTGCAATGTAAACGCAGCACGGCTCTCATATTTGTATGAATCCTCTGTAGGAGCGAGGGAAGCATTGAAAAAGACAGAAAAGGATATAAACACTTGTTTTTACTGGCTAATTGTTGCAACTCCCACACGGATAAGACTTGAGTACCTTTTATAATTTTATAGCGGTCGTTTTCGAGATTC